GGGGTGGTATTTTCTCCTACTGAAATTCCCAATTCAGCCTATATAGAAAATTTACATCTGATAGGATATAATAAGCAGACTTCATAAACAATTCCTGGATTGCAGGGGGGGGGGCTGAAGCCCCCTCAGCCACCCTCATAAATACGCCCTTGTTATAGGCATATTCAATTTTCCGTTTTTTTATTATATAAATGTCAATACAATTTTATTCATTGGGTTAAAAACTTGAAAATTTAATACAAGGTTCTCAATTAGTTGATACAACAGCAGTTGGAAAATATTAAAAATACATAGGCACTTTTTTTTTATAACCATTTAACTTTCAAATTTTGATGAAATTTATTTAATTGAACATTTTTAGTTGTTAAAAACGTATAAAAAGGATAACTTTTATAACGAAAAATTGAAAATTTTAAACATGGTTTCACTAAGTAGTTAATTCTGCAACAACAAAAAAATCAAAAAACTATACAAACACTTTTTCAACTTTTTCATAGTTATTTTAAGTTCAAATTTAGATTAATTTACGTATTAAACAATTTATATTCTTGTAATTTAAAAATATTATTCGAATCAAATAAACAAATCACAAGAGCAACCCTTGAAATTTGCAGGGATCGATATTAGAGAAGATTATTTCACACATGGCCATTTGTATGTGCATGAATACTCCAGAGTCAGTACGCCCATGTGCCATGAGTTTAGTTATTTTGGCACCAACAGAAATTACAGCTAATGTAGTTTGTAGAGAAGTATCATATTAACGATAAAAATCAGCTTAATAAACAATTAATATAATATGGAATATTTTTTTAAACAAACTTATTTAAATTTAATTTAACTAGACAATATTTAATCTTACCAGATAACAACAATTAATAAACCCGGAAACGACGGGTAATTTATATTCTTTATATTCTAATATTAATTGTCAATACCGTTACTGACTTTTGTTAATACTCTATAATAAATTGTATACACTATGAATGACTAAGTGAGGGTTAATGAATCTGATTTGATTAATTTGGAATTTATTTTATAGGTATCTACATTTTTTTTGTTTTTTGAAATAATAACAATAACATATCCTATACAGACAAACCGTCTCCGCTTAGAATCATTTTTCGTATACAATGATTTTATATCATTGAATTCAAATTTAATATCATTTATTACAGTAACCCACTTGTAAACTATTGAACAGCAAAGCGACATCCACTTACCCGCTTTTTAATTTTATTCTGTATTTTTTATATTTTAAATTGCTCTAAGTTGAAACTATGAAGAACCTTGTTTTAAATTTTTTAGCAAAAACAAAAAAATATTTGTTCAGAATCTAATATGGTAAATGACTTACTATTCCGTTATACAATTTATCTATTATAATATCATCCTTTCGCCAATATCTGTATTCACAGTAAAAAAACATGAATGATTACAATATACAAATATAACGCACTAAACAAACAACTATACCTACACACCTCGTGGGACAGTTTGATTTCAACTGAGTTATTAAAACATCGAAACTTTTAAAAAACATTGACCTAACCGATACGGTTATTTGACGGTTTGACTGAAGAACAGAATAATAATGTCCAATGTAACGAACAATATAGTGAAAACAGACATTTTTTGTAGGTAAATCTGCAGGTACCCATTTTTCAATCTTTCCTCAATTTACGATTTATTAAATGTACAAAAATTACTTTGAACATTTTATTGTTATAATTTTTACGATTTCAATTATTTTTTTTTTAACGAGTATAAACGAGAATTAATCAGAGGTATTTAAAAATTTTAAATGAGCAAAATAGAGGACAAACGTATTTTTGTGAGATAGATACCCCTGTACTCTTCATCATACTTCGCTTATCTAAACTTTTAATTGTTTTAAAACTAATTAATAACTCATCCAAATTGTGAAAAAGTACTAAAATAATCATAAAAATATTTTAATTCGTCATAGATTAGATAAAAAATGTATATGTTGTTATTAAAAAACTAAAAAATAATATTTTATAAAATATTAAAGTTTTATAAAAAAATGAATCTATAAATTATATAGACACTTAAATCAATCACCATGTAGATTATAATAATATGAAGTATATAAGTAGTATTCAAGTCGCCCACTCATCCCTGCGATTTTCTATTGTAAGGCTGTTCAGGTCGTAAATATATCTGGGCTTGGCAGGTAGAGCTAAAAAGAAACATTTTTTTTTTTTAAATCGTGTGACCCTCAAAATTGTAATCATTTATAAAAATATATATTGGCTTCACCGTTGTTTTTGCAATACTCGATGTTGTGATGACGTCTTTACAAACATATACGCCCACGCGTTAATCCCCGGCCCTGGTACGTTCACCAATAGCGTGCGAAACCCTATGTTTTGACATGTCATAGACAAGCTTGTCTAATAATATTGTATAGGTAGGATACTTAAAAAAATATATTTTCAGAAATTCACCTTATTTCGTTTTTCTCTTTCTGTTCATCGTATACGCTCACACGCACAACATACGCGATCGACGAACTTACATCACATATACGACTATTACTTATGAAAAATCTTGTAGTATACTTACATTTTCAAGTTAAATAACTATTTATGTTTAAAATTGCAATTATATTTTATTTGAAAATAATTTTTGTGAATTTGATAAATGTAGTAGAAATCTTGACTTCAAAAGCTTATAAAAAAAAATTATAACGCTTTGCTGTACATTAGATGTTTAAAGAACTCGATGTAATTAAATTTAAATTCAATGATATAAAATCATTTTATATGAAAAACGATTCTGAGCGAAGACTGCCTATAATATATTACCATGTGTATTTTATAAATATATGATAGTCTATCATTGATAGGTATTACTGTGATTAAAATAATTAATTCAAGCATCAATATCGACATTACTACAAAAATCGTTATTATTTAAATAAAATATTTCACTATTTATTTTTATTTTTTAAACATATATTCCGAAGTATTCACGTTCTTTATAAAATTACTATTGTTATTATAACTGTGAATTACTTATTGTATATACAAAACAATTGTTATTATAACATTTTTTTTTGGTGATAATAAACGATGATTTATTGATAAATATTTTGAATTGCATTTGTAAATTAGGAAATCATAAATAAAAATATAACTAACATTAGATGAATATACCACATAATATTTCTAAATGTATTATTAAATCAAGATATAAAATAATATTAAAGATTGTATAATAAACTATCTAATTAAGTAGGTACATATAATTATACGAACATTTCTACAAATATAGGTACGCACATTTTGTAAATTTATTTATTTTTTGTGGTGGATTAAATGCTACTAGGATGGTGAAAGGAAGGGTAGTGATGAGTATTACCTTGAATAAACTTTTGCTCCTCACCAAAAAATAATTCAACACGCCAGATTCGAGTATTAACATATTTATTTATTTTTTGTATCAATGTTAAATTAACTATTATGGTGTATAAGCTATTGCAGGATTCTCGAACTGGCTGATCCACACGATGAACCCAGTGAGACAAAAATTATTTTTTTGGGAAATAAACTGTTAACGAAGCATCACGCACAAAGTTGGAAATGTTAATCTTTTTAGGCATAGTACAAAATCGTTTATTTGTATTTTTTAGAGGTCCGCCAATGTAAGCTTTTACTGTCTAACATAATTAGATTCTAATGTATCGGAATGACGAAATGTATATGTATTGGAATGAACCAAGACATAATATATAAGTGAGACACTGCGACAAATATTATACTTTTTTCAGGGTCAGATGTAAGGTTTTATAATTTATGGGCGATGAAGCGACCCCTTTGATACTATAAGTATTCAGTATTCGATACATTGCAGGTATATTAAGCGTCACTTAAATGGCTTGGCTCTTTCCACCTACACCTTTGTATTTCAAAGATTGTTTCTCACTAAAATTTAATTTTTATTATCATACTCGTTTATCGATACCATTTAAAGCAGTTATGGAGCACTCTGATGGTAGTTTATGGTAGCAAGTCATATCCAGTTGGTAGTATAGAAAGTCAAAACAATAATTCCTTGTACATATTTACAACCTACTTTTTTGCATATTCTAATAGTACTTAAAAGTTGTGGTTTATAAATAAATGTTAATAAATGTATACAAAAAATGAAAATGATTCGACCAATTTTAGAGGTGCCGCGACCTATTATAAAATATTTAAAAATATTACAACTTTAAAAAAAAAAAAATATTGGTTTTAATTGTATTAAAGTGTAATAAATTCATATTTATGAGATAAATACAGATATTTTCATTATTTAATCAATAATAGTCATATTTAAAATGAGTATACAAATCTCTATATAAACTTAATGTAATCGAAAATCTTTTTTTGAATGAAACTGAGGCATAATTCTACGAGATTCAATCCTCGATCTGATAAATCCGTCCCTTCTAGTTTGTCCACAAACGGCTKCAGATGCTTCTGTCACAAGTTTCACACTTCTTTCGACAGCTTGAGTATRACAAGGAAAATTAAAAAGATCAAAATATTTCTTCTTATTTTGACCTCCAATAATCTATTACAAAAAACGAAGTTAATACTCGTATAATGAAAATAAATAAAAAACATTTTATTTTACCTGTTTCAATATTTCTTGATCAATTTTCGATGTAATTGGAGGCTCAGTAACTTGATTGTTTTCCCAATTAATTAGTTCGAAGTAATCATTAGCATTAAAATTCAATGGWGGAATTTGAAAACAACGAATCTTGCCTKCCTCATTATTTTTTCGCGCTTCTATAATTTTTGTTACAGCTATTTTTCTAATGTCTTCGCGATCATCAAATAACATACATATAAGTATATTTTCGATTGAACCAAAATATGCATTTCGTTTAACTACAGGGTCAATTGTATGGTTTTCCAAAGGTGTTTTGATCCAGATGTACAAGAAGGATTCATTTTTATATAGAACCACATGGGTCATGGGACCATATACTTTTAATATAAACTCAGTTAAAATTTTTAAATTTTCTGTTGGAGATTGCATACTAATATATAAACGTAAAATGCGATTAGCAGTGGTAAGCCATCTAGAGCGTGCTTGCTTCCCTGGATTCCTTCTCGATAAATCAATACTACAATTACTACAATTTTCTATTTTTTTTTAAAATTATCATTATTTATTCTACTCTTTGCCGACTTCAGTATATTACGATATTTATCATGGTACGTTTTTATCATTTGCAACACACGTGTATGAGATACTATTGGAATTKATGCTTTTAGCCATACCTTTTCTATATCAACCGCTACAATTTCTGCAATTGAACTTACACTAGGTTYTTTAGARGTAATTTCTGGTTTTAGTTTATGTTTCACAAACAGATAATATTGCATACATCTTCAAAAGTTGGAAGTACATTGTTACCAAGTTCTTTAGCATCTCCAAAAATTAAACATTTTAATTTATTTCTGGTCAAAACACAAGTCATTTTGAACGAATATTTAACGAACAAACTCAAACACTATAAACTTTACACGACTGTCGACTAGTGACTAYGTATAACGTACGAATATACAGCGGTACTAAATGTAAAATCGAGTTTGTCTATTCAACTAATGCTGAAAACTAAGATAAGATAAGATAGGACAACTTGTTAATAGAATAACCCAATAAAACCAGCAAAATAATTGTAGGTACTATATTTAAAATGTCTTGTGGCACTTCTTAATCTCATCCTAGGCATATTAAAATTTATGTATAGCGTATAGTGACCAAAACACATATTTCCCCAACTATTAGAAAGTTAATATTTAAGATTCATTTTTTCGATCCACCCTAGCGTACAACATGGCAAAAATTGTTTCGTACTGAAAAGAACCGGGAAATCTACAGTTCTAAAATTATAACTAAGAAACGAAATTTTCACCATATAAAAAGGAGAATTTTGTCAGTACAATATCGTTTTTATTTTTTTGATATCAGAACTACAAACAAAATTATTCATGCTAAAAAAACATAAAATTAATGTATTATGAAACAATAAGAATTTTTTTTGTATAAGTGATATCGAAAAAATAAAAACGATATTGCACAGACAGAATTCTCCTTTTTATGTGGTGAAAATTTCGTTTCTTAGTTATAACTGTAGCTTTCTCTGTTCTTTCCCGCGCGAAACAGTTTTTGCAATATTACGCACTTGTAAGACGGAGACAACACATGCGTGTGTAACGTCCTCTTAATGCTCTGCTAGTTGGATGTTGGATGTCTAGAGAAGTCACTATAATGATTGGGTTAAATTTAAATTCAACAGTGTAAAATAATTGTTGTATACGAAAAACGATTCTGAGCAAGATGATCTGTCAGCCTATATAATATTACTATAAGCATATTTATCATAATATTATTGTGATTAAAGTAATTTATTTTGCTATTAGTAAGTAGGTACAGTATAATTAAAATTATTTTTGCCGAGAAAATTGAACTTGAAAAAGTCATTGTGGGTATAAATTATAATGATATGTTTTAAAATTTTCAAGTACTATTCCAGAAATAATATTTTTACAACATATAATAACTAAAATTGTTAATTCTTTGTTTAAATATCTAATTTCGTCTAAATTTGAACTTGAAGTGTTTATACATAGGTATTTTAGATTTTTCGATTACAGTATGTAATTAACTAAATTAAACTAGTTACGTGAAACCTCGTTTTAAATTTTTAATCCTAATCTATAAAATTAAACATTTTATAAAAAATTATAAAATAATCATTTGGCGTAAATCACAAGTATCTACGGTTAATCTTTTTTTAATTGCAACAATTTAGGAAAATCATTCGATGAATGATTCGTTAAGTCAACATAAATTTAGTGTCGTAAAAATTTGATCTTCAGATGCTCATAAAAAATTCGATGACTTTCAAATTTTTTTTAAAGGAATTTTATTATGCAATTTCAAATCTAAGATATACACAGAAAATTTTTTATAAATTTACAACTTTAAATAATTAGCAAATTTTGGCAATTTTGACGAATTTTGTCAAAATTTCAACTTCAGGCGTTCATTAAAATTATTTAGATTATTGTTCAATTTGTTTTTTCAATTTTTACCAACAAAAAGTTATGAGGAACCTTGTATTAAATTTAATTGTTATTTGATTGAGCTAAAATTTGATATCGACATAAATTTAAAAAAATAATAATAAATATCATAAATTGATTATAAATGGTTTAAAATGCATCAAAATATTTTTTAAATTATATCATACTTTGTAATTGCTGGATATTTGGTAAAAATGTTAATCTTACAATT